GCACCTGCCTCCTTGAGAGCAGGTGGGACGCTTTCCGCTCCTCACTCTGCTCTGCCTCCTCTGCCGCCGGTCCCACAGTTCGCTCTGTGGTTACCGACCAAGTTCCATGGAGAGGCCAGTCACACAAGCAGGGGCTCATGCAGGCTGGCTGATGCGGCAGGAGAGGAAAGGACCAGACTGTCTAGAAAAGGGAATTGTTAAAGGCATCGCTGGCATGTGAGGAGGATTAACAAGATGGGGGTGAAGGCCAAACGCAGACAGGAGTGAGATGACCAGGAGCCAGTGAAGCACAAGGGGTCCTGTAACTCACCAAGGCTGAGCCCAGGTTGCAGGTGTCTTGCCTACCCCGCGGCGACCACGTGAGGCTGCTGTCCTAGCAATTCTGGGCTGCTCCAAACTGTCCCAGTATTTGGAACACCATCTCCCCAGGAGGAGATCTGGGACCTGGCAGGTCTGGCCAGGAATGACTAGACAGTAGGCAGGGACGAGAGTGTAGGGGCCTAGGCAGAGGGGCTGGGAGGAGGAGTGGGGACCTGGAGGTAGGAGTAGTAGGCAAGGGGAGCCAGGCTGACCTCGGGTTGGCAGAGGGGCAGCCGTCGGGGAGGAACAGAGGAGGAGCTGGTCATGTACAGCATCATGGCGGAGTAGTGGGAATTGGGGAGATTAGTCAGAGAGGGGAACTTGGTGGGGCAATGAACAGAAAGAGCTGGGTGGTTTTGGGGAGGAGGCTGAGGGGTGCGATGCTGAGGAGTGCGGAGGGGCGTTTTGGGGCTGAGAGCACAAAGGAATAAGAGGAGGTCGAGGCTGGGGCAGAGGCCGAGAAATGGGAGGGTGTTTTTTCATCATTTTCAAAAGACACTGCTACGCACTCAGTAGTCCAGAAGAATCAAAATGAGTAAGTGGGATGTGCCCAGACCTCTTCTGGTTTTTATTGTCCCGCCTGCGCCTCGCATCACCCCAGTACTGAATGCCCTTTATGAAACGCACAAGTCCCTCCCCCAGGACTCGGGAGTAGGAAAATGGCCCCAGCGTCCAGGTGTAATTACGATCATGGAAACATCCAAGAGAAGCAATGGAGATGCAATATTAGTCCCTGTTCTTGGGACTAATGTCGTTTTTCCATGTCGTTTTTCCCCAAAGTAGGCCAAGATTGTTCAAAGGGCCAGAATAGAGTTAGGGGCCTGAGGCCTCGGACCGCAGTTCTTAGCAGGAAGTGGGAAATGGGGAAGAGACAGTGACCCAGACTTGTTAACCTACCACATTTTTCAAAGCCCTTTCACATCATTTATATCATCATTTATATCACTGCATGAACATGAATGATTAGCAGAGAGATGCTATGTCCATCTCCCTGATGAGGACCCTGGAGACCAGAGAGGGCACATCCACAGGCAGGCAGGTGACAGAGCAGGTGGGCCTGGAACTTGGGACAAAAGGAGGGGGCAGGCAGGAGTGCCCACAGAGGGACACAACACATCACCTCCCTATGCCTCTGGGCAGGGTCTTGTAGGCGGCCCTTCTGAGCAGGACTCTACTTTTGCTAGCTGACCTCTTGGTCCCTATGCTCCCTTGGTTTCATGCCTTACTTTTCATGGGGAACAGAGCTGGCAGGGTGACTGCCCACTTCTGAGGGCCTCGTGACTAGATTGGGGCTTTCTTGCTCACTACCTGAGGTGCCTAACTCCAAGAGAGATGATTGAGGAAGCTACTGCACTCTCCTCCTTCCTTTTGTCTGATGCAGCAGCCTCTCTGCTTAACATTCCTGGTTTCTTTGATCACCATCTAAATCATAAGCCCCTTTGTTCCCCTGTTCTTCCCTGTACTCTTATCACCATAATCTTCTGAGTTTTTTCTCCTTGACTCAATACTTGTTTTCTCCCATAGTTAGCAATACTTTGAGTGTACTCTCTGCAGGTCTAGCTACATAATTAGCAAATTTCACTATTCCTTAGACTGCTTTTTATTTTATTTCTTAAATTGTTATTCTTTTTTGTTTGTTTGTTTTGTTTTGTTTTGTTTTTTGAGGCAGAGTCTCACTTTGTCACCCAGGCTAGAGTGCAGTGGTGTCATCAACACACTGCAACCTCAAACTCCTGGGCTCAAGCGATCCACCTGCCTCAGCCTCCCAAGTAGCTGAGACTACAAGCGGGAGACCAGCCTGGGCAATAGTGAGACCCCGTCTCTTCAAAAATAAAAAATAAAAAAATTATCCAGGTGTGGTGGCATGTGCCTGTAGTCCCAACTACTCAGGAGGCTGAGGCAGGAGGGTCACTTGAGCCCAGGGGTTGGCAGTTGCAGTGAGCTATGACGACACCACTGCACTCTAGCCTGGGTGATAGAGCAAGACCCTGTCTCAAAAAAAAATGAGAAGAAATATGATCCCAGAAGGAAAGAAATGCAAGAAGCTAGGTGGAGAGCAGGGCACCATGAACTCAGATTGGTAAGTAGGAAGCCTCCCAGCAGAATGCCCGCAAAACTTGTTGCAGGGTGTGCACACACTGCTGGCAGTCCCCTGCTATAGCAGTAAGGAGACAAGAATGGAAACAGACTAGAGCCAGAAAGAAATAATCCATAATTCCCCTGCTCCTCGTAGAGCTAAAAAGGGAATGCCAAAGGGGAAAAAGGCTAAATGTCAGAGGAGTCCTTACAGAAGCGCCAGTGGGTAAGGAAAGTAACTGAGGAACTGATCATTGAGCCAGACACTGAGGCTCACAAAAGAAGAAATGACACCACACGGTTGTCTAAGAGATAGTGGAACAGGAAAACGAAAAGAAATTTGCTGCCACTGAAACCCCGGATGATGAGTTCCGGAAAGTTACTGGCTTGTTCCCAGTTCCCATCAAGCTAGAACCTCAGGTGGCCACTCTGTGTGCCAAGAGAGCTGCTGTCTTTGTAAAACTGCAGAAGCCAATGCTGCCATCAAGCAGTATGCAAGAGCCTCTGACCAGCTCAGCCTTGCAAGAAGCAGGGACCATGAGAGGACGCAGCCTGGGATCTTTCCCTTGCTTATGAACTGGACTGTGACAAAGACATCAGTGAAATGCAGAAAAAGAAGTCACCCAAGAGCTAGAGTACTGCAGGACACTGGAGAAAGGAGGATCAAAAGTGTACGGAAGAGCAGGTTAGGAAAAGGTCAGAGTGGCAAAGCCCTGGGAGTCACCAAGAGGGTCCAGGGAGGAAGAGGCAGGTGATATGCAGTAGCTTATTTTGGTGATGTTCTAGCTCGTTTTCCTGGAAGAATGCCTGAAACAAGGGAGTGAGGCCGCATGGCCTGGATTAGCAGAAACACCTTTGCTCAGTAAAATTCTAAGGATCAAAGTTCCTACAGCAATGCAGGATCTAGAAGTAATGGTGACTTTTCAGGATATGGCCCAGATCCCAGCAAATGTGTCAAACGACCAGAGCAACATGATAGCTAAGAATCTTAGAAAACCATCATCCAAATGTGGAGGGCTAACCTAATGCCCTTCTGATAAACAGTC